CAGGCAAGGAGGGCATTAATCAGAGGCAACAAAGAGACCAAAGATAACCCTGAAGGAGCTGCATAGCTCAACAGCGGAGATTGGAGTATCTGTCTATAGGACCACTTTAAGCCGTACACTACACAGAGCTGGGCTTTACGGAAGAGTGGCCAGAAAAAAGCCATTGCTTAAAGACAAAAATAAGTAAACACGTTTGGTGTTCGCCAAAAGGCATGTGGGAGACTCCCCAAACATATGGAAGAAGGTACACATCAAGAAGGTACACATCATGCTGTGGGGATGTTCACAGAGCTGTGAGGGGAACGGCACCTCCTTACCTTCATGCTCTGATCAGTCCCTACACCCAAATGAGGGCGTTGCGTTCTTCCACCTCTGGCCTGCTGGTCCCCCTACCTCTGCAGAAGCACTGTTCCCGCTCAGCACAGTCAAAACTGTTCGCTGCTCTGGCACCCCAATGGTGGAACAAGCTCCCTCACGACGCCAGGACAGCAGAGTCACTGACCACCTTCCGGAGACACTTGAAACCCTACCTCTTTAAGGAATACCTGGGATAGTATAAAAGTAATCCTTCTACCTACCCCACCCCCACAAAAATAAAAAATAAAATACAATAACAAAACAAAAACAAAATAATAGGAAAAACAAAAACAAAAAAACTATATCAATATAAAACAAATGAAAATTTAAAATATACTCTAAAAAGAAGAAAGAAAAAAATTTGAAAATAAAAAATAAAAATAAAATAAAAAAGAGATAAAAAAATGAGAAAAAATTTAATAGAAAAATAAAGAAAAAATAAATTGTAAAGTGGGTTGTCCCACTAGCTATCATAAGGTGAATGCACCAATTTGTAAGTCGCTCTGGATAAGAGCGTCTGCTAAATGACGTGAATGTAAAAAAAAAAATTTTTCATCGGCAAAAACTGAGAAACTGGTCAGAATTGAAGGAATGATGGATGGCGCTAAATACAGGGAAATTCTTGAGGGAAATCTGTTTCAGTCTTCCAGAGAATAGAGACTGGGATGGAGGTTCACCTTCCAGCAGGACAATGACCCTAAGCATACTGATAAAGCAACACTTGAGTGGTTTAAGGGGAATCATTTAAATGTCTTGGAATGGCCTAGTCAAAGCCCAGACCTCAATCCAATTGAGAATCTGTGGTATGACTTAAAGATTGCTGTACACCAGCGGAACCCATCCAACTTGAAGGAGCTGGAGCAGTTTTGCCTTGAAGAATGGGCAAAAATCCCAGTGGCTAGATGTGCCAAGCTTATAGAGACATGCCCCAAGAGACTTGCAGCTGTAATTGCTGCAAAAGATGGCTCTACAAAGTATTGACTTTGGGGGGGGGGGTGAATAGTTATGTACGCTCAAGTTTTCTGTTTTTTTGTCTTATTTCTTGTTTGAAGATGCAAAATCTTTTTTATTGTGAAACAAAGTGGTAGGCATGTTGTGTAAATCAAATGATACAACCTTCCGAAAAATATATATTTTAATTCCAGGTTGTGAGGCAACAAAATAGGAAAAATGCCAAGGGGGGTGAATACTATCGCATGCCGCTATACATATGCCTAAGAGTTATTTATGTCAGATAGGGAACAAACAAACCAGTCATAATCCATCCACCGGCCGTATTTCTTCATTAACAGGTAGCTAGCCGGTCAGTAGTGCAGGACTTGCTAAAACATATCATCACACCAGAATGTTTTCATTGGAAGCCAGACGGCTAAAAGCTGCAGATAGCATCTCTGCTCCCCACTCATCGAGCGCCAACCAGCGGTGGTGTAGCCACACCTCGCACTGCCATAAGAAAATAAACAAGCACCTTTTTGTTACAGTTATATACAACTCCCCACCAATGCTTTGGCAGATAATAGATAAAGGTGCTCTTGAGTGTGGTGTGGGTGGCACTTGATTTCTCGTTTTCTTATTTTGCAACACCCACTGTATAGGTGGCATACATTTTAAAAGCACATGTATGAATCACATGGAGCATATGAAAATTGGTACACAGATCACACACACAATCCTAATACTTTCCTGCTAATCAGGCAACAGAATTTGAACATTGGCGGTTGGCACAACACACTAAATAACCCAGTCAGTTTTCTTTTTGAGCTGCAATCCGGTTAAGTAGTACGCTATGCTTGCCTCATTTCATCTGATCAAAACCCGACGAGAGAGCGAGAGTATATTTTATGGCCTGCCAAAAAAGACATTCACAGCATACAGTACTAGACACCTCTCACCAACACACACACACATACACACACTTCCCAATCTACCATCAGTACCAACACCACCACCACCCTCTTCACTGTCAGATGATCTTATCTCTCCTTCTCAAGTTGTTTAATGAGGAGCTTGTCTGGGAGGTTTCACTACACCCGCAATAACATTGCTAAATATGTGTATGTGACCAATAAAATGTGATTTGATTTGTTGTTTTCACAGCCACTCCTGGGTAGAGTGGTGGCTAGTGATCCAGGGAATGGGTGGTGTGAGTCAGGGGCGGCAGGTAACCTCGAGTTTAGAGTGTAGGGCCAGTAACCGAAAGGTTGCTGGTTCAAATACCAGAGCCAACAAGGTGGGGGAAAAATCTGTTGCTGTGCCCTTGAGCAAGGCACTTAACCCTAATTGCTCTAGGGGCACTGTAAAGTGGCGACCGTGGCTGTGACCCCACTCCCTACAGGTGTCTCTGGGCAAATTGATATGCAAAAAACACATTTCAGTTGCACACTTGTGTGTAACAGGACAAATATAAGCACCCCCCAAATTGTTATTATACCCTCCCTCTCCAGCATGCCTGACTCCTGTAGGAGAGATGACAGAAGCAATAGGCATCACAAGACAAATATGCTTGGAAATCTATGGCAAGACATGAAAATGGTTGTCTAGCAATGATCAACAACCAATTTGACAGAGCTTGAAGAAATTTGAGGGGGGGGGTGGAAAGGGATGTTGCACAATCCAGGTGTGGAAAGCTCTTAGAGACTTACCCAGAAAGACACAGCTGTAATCTCTGCCAAAGTTGCTTCTTCTACAAAGTATTGAATTAAGTGTGTGAATGCTTATTTAAATGCGATTATTTCTGAATTTCATTTTCAAAGAATTAGCAACAATTTTGAAAAACACGTTTTCACTTTATCATTATGGGGTATTGTGTGTAGATGGGTGCGGGAAAAAAACTGTTTAATCCATTTTGAATTCAGGTTATACAGTGGGGGAAAAAAGTATTTAGTCAGCCACCAATTGTGCAAGTTCTCCCACTTAAAAAGATGAGAGAGGCCTGTAATTTTCATCATAGGTACACGTCAACTATGACAGACAAAATGAGAATCTTTTTTCCAGAAAATCACATTGTAGGATTTTTAATGAATTTATTTGCAAATTATGGTGGAAAATAAGTATTTGGTCAATAACAAAAGTTTCTCAATACTTTGTTATATACCCTTTGTTGGCAATGACACAGGTCAAACATTTTCTGTAAGTCTTCACAAGGTTTTCACACACTGTTGCTGGTATTTTGGCCCATTCCTCCATGCAGATCTCCTCTAGAGCAGTGATGTTTTGTGGCTGTCGCTGGGCAACACAGACTTTCAACTCCCTCCAAAGATTTTCTATAGGGTTGAGATCTGGAGACTGTCTAGGCCACTCCAGGACCTTGAAATGCTTCTTACGAAGCCACTCCTTCGTTGCCCGGGTGGTGTGTTTGGGATCATTGTCATGCTGAAAGACCCAGCCACGTTTCATCTTCAATGCCCTTGCTGATGGAAGGAGGTTTTCACTCAAAATCTCACGATACATGGCCCCATTCATTCTTTCCTTTACACGGATCAGTCGTCCTGGTCCCTTTGCAGAAAAACAGCCCCAAAGCATGATGTTTCCACCCCCATGCTTCACAGTAGGTATGGTGTTCTTTGGTTGCAACTCAGCATTCTTTGTCCTCCTAACACAACGAGTTGAGTTTTTACCAAAAAGTTATATTTTGGTTTCATCTGACCATATGACATTCTCCCAATCCTCTTCTGGATCATCCAAATGCACTCTAGCAAACTTCAGACGGGCCTGGACATGTACTGGCTTAAGCAGGGGGACACGTCTGGCACTGCAGGATTTGAGTCCCTGGCGGCGTAGTGTGTTACTGATTGTAGGCTTTGTTACTTTGGTCCCAGCTCTCTGCAGGTCATTCACTAGGTCCCCCCGTGTGGTTCTGGGATTTTTGCTCACCGTTCTTGTGATCATTTTGACCCCACGGGGTGAGATCTTGCGTGGAGCCCCAGATCGAGGGAGATTGTCAGTGGTCTTGTATGTCTTCCATTTCCTAATAATTGCTCCCACAGTTGATTTCTTCAAACCAAACTGCTTACCTATTGCAGATTCAGTCTTCCCAGCCTGGTGCAGGTCTACAATTTTGTTTCTGGTGTCCTTTGACAGCTCTTTGGTCTTGGCCATAGTAGAGTTTGGAGTGTGACTGTTTGAGGTTGTGGACAGGTGTCTTTTATACTGATAACAAGTTCAAACAGGTGCCATTAATACAGGTAACGAGTGGAGGACAGAGGAGCCTCTTAAAGAAGAAGTTACAGGTCTGTGAGAGCCAGAAATCTTGCTTGTTTGTAGGTGACCAAATACTTATTTTCCACCATAATTTGCAAATAAATTCATAAAAAATCCTACAATGTGATTTTCTGATTTTTTTTCCCCTCAATTTGTCTGTCATAGTTGACGTGTACCTATGATGAAAATTACAGGCCTCTCTCATCTTTTTAAGTGGGAGAACTTGCACAATTGGTGGCTGACTAAATACTTGTTTTCCCCACTGTAACATAACTAAATGTAGAATAAGTCAAGGGGTATGAATACTTTCTGAAGGCACTGTATCTGTCTCTCACTTTCAAAAGGCTTTATTGGCATGACAAAATTACACATTCATATTGCCAAAGCAACATTGTCGAGCAATTTTCAAAATGTTCTGTCTCTGTTTCTCTAGGTACGCCATAATGTGTGGAATCATGACAGAGTATGAGACTGTGCAGAACAGGATAAAGAATGGCTACGTCTTCAAAGTAAGTGATTTTTTGACAGACCATCTACACACAAAGCTATATCTTCATGTGTTCACTGATTCAAGTGTTTGTTTTGTGTATACTTGAAGCATGTCAGACCTTACCTACATTAGCAGCACCTGAGGTGATGGCAGGCACACAGATGGAATGGTGGAATTTAGTAATAATAAGAGAGGGTAACTGAGGTGAGAACAGGGCGTGTGCTTTTCCAGAACGTCCCCTGTGGTCTGTTGCTCAGTCAGTGTTGATTCCCAGCTGTGTCGAGAGGGTCCTCCCCTGTCATACAACCACAAGTTGACAGCCAAAGAATCACCCTCGGTTTTATTTAGGTCAGTTATCCCTCAAATGAAATGTAAAAAGTGTTCCTATACATGCGGTTATTGTCGGTGCTTATATACACTGACTGCTATACAGGTGTTAACCTTATTGACTGTGGGCTGTATTCAGATCACTGTCCAGCAGCATACCACCCTGCATCCCACTGCTGGCTTGCCTCTGAAGCTAAGCAGGCTTGGTCCTGGTTGGTACCTGGATGGGAGACCAGATGCTGCTGGAAGTCCCAAAAAAATATCCCAGTGCCCCAAGGCAGTGATTGGGGACATTCCCCTGTGTAGGGTGTTGTCTTTTGGATGGGATGTTAAACGGGTGTCCTGACTCTCTGTGGTCACTAAAGATCCCATGGCACTTATAGTAAGAGAAGGGGTGTGAACCCCGGTGTCCTGGCTAAATTCCCAATCTGGCCCTCATACCATCATGGCCACCTAATCATCCCCAGCTTAAAATTGGCTGTTTTCTCTCCCCTGTAACTATTCCCCAGGTCGTTGCTGCTAAAATAAGGGTTAAATAAATAAAACACCCAGATGAATGGGTTGCATAATGGATGCGACTGGGGAAACCGCACGTAGCATTTATGTTACCTGTCAGCTGCTTCACAAACTCTGTTTAACTGCAAAGCCCAGAGAGAGAGAGAGATTTTGCGATTGAGTGGAAAAGAACAGGGGGAGGGAAAAAGGAGAGGGTTGCATGACAAATAGGAGCTTGTGATACATGTGCGTGTGTGAGAGATGTTTGTGCAATAGTTGTGGGTAGCTGGTTACGTGGAGCAGGACAGATCAGGTCAGAGGAAAATGTGTGGTGTCATGAATCAACACTTAATGCTGTCTGTCCTCTTCTGTTTTCGCCCTCTTTGCATACAGGATCATCTGGATAAGGCCATCGAGCTGAAACCACAGGATCCTATGTCTTACTACCTGCTGGGCCGCTGGTGCTATGCTGTATGTAACCATACAGTGAGGAATACACTCCCTGAAAAGTGATCAATGTAGAAGCTTTGAAAAGGAGTCATTAGCCAATGGAACAATGGTGGTGGTCAACACACAGACACACTCATTGACACACATACACACACGCACCCTCCACATTCCCTCCCAAGCGTAGCTAGCTGCAGTCAAAGATGAGTGGCTATTTCTCAGAAGGAGGAAAAAACCTCTGATGTTTTGTGAGAGTGAATTTAAAGGGCTCTGTGTTCATGTTTAAACATTGATCCACTGTTTACATTCAGGCAGAGGCCCCTCTTTGAAAGGGCCCACGTGACGGCAGGGCAATACTACACCTGCAATTGCACATTTCTAAGATGAATGGGGCGAGGAAGGAACAGTGCATGCATTTGACCTAGCGAGTCCCTCCCATTAGATCCATTATCTTATTCCTGTAATCAAGTTTTATGGAAAAGGAGGACTGTGTGACTTTATCATGATAGGTTGGTTTGTGTTAGGATTAGAAACTGCTTCCATTGCAGATTATATTGTCTCCGCATCCTGAATGACAGGGCTTTAGCAACATTGGTTAGTATGTTAGTGTCTTTCTATAGTGGAAAATACAAGTTATTTTCAGATCCATTACTTCCGTGACTCCCCTTGTTTAAATGCTACTTGCACTGTTTACACACTGTAGGTAGTGTGAGAGTCATTTTCACACCATATTGTTTAAACGTTTATCTGATTTGCCATGTTCTGAAAGGGCTCTATACATTGGTTCTGTTCAGGTGGCTCAACTGTCCTGGATTGAGAGGAAAATTGCTGCTACATTGTTTGGCGAGCCTCCAAGTGCCACGGTCCAAGATGCGCTGAAGAACTTCCTCAAGGTATTGGTATTCTCCTTGCTACCATAGATTGTGGTGCAGAGCACAAGTGTTTGGCAGTACGTGTTAGTGGAGTAAAGCATGTCAGGCCTTGCAAATGTACTTTACCAGTACATTTCTCATTTGCCCAACAGCTAGTTTTGAATATGGACAGGTACACTGTTTATGTTGCTTTCATTGTTCTGCATTGTATACTTTAGCCTGTTGGAATCATACAGTCCTTCCAAGTTCTCTCTCTTTAACTCATCTTTCCTGATCGCTGTATATTACATCTCCGAGAACACTTCCCTGTGTTCTGCACACTTACTATTAGATCCTTTACTCTCTTTCATGATCTCTCTCTAACCAATTGAAACATGTAGCGCACAGCAGCCTATTTGTTTTGTGTTGAGTCGGGATTTGCCCAGAGGTCGCTTCTGCACCCAGATTTAAAGACCAAACCCCAAATATTTAGAGGCTTAATCTGTGTTCCCACATTTCACATGTTTATATAGAGAGACATGAAATTGCTCCTGGCCAAGATTCTCTTGCGTCATGTCTCTTCCTCACATCGTGTGTATCTCGCCAATCAATTTTAGTTAAGTGGTCTCTGTCGTAACTTGTTTCTCCTGCCCGTAAGGACTCTGGTAGAGGCTGTTTAGCTTCAACAAACACATCCTGCTGTTATACAACTTGTCACTATAACCAAGTACACAAACAGTAACTACACACTACGTAATACCAAGGTGTTGTCCTAGTACTCTTCTCACTGTACTATTAATGCTAAGGCTATATAGGGTCAGAATTTAAGGTAGAGTCAAGTGAAATATAATTATCCACGGCTAGAGGCAGAATAATGCTATGGTTAGTCCTTTCTGTATTTGTCTGTGCTGAGCAGGTTCTATTTTCAATTTCAGTCATTTGCCCAAATCCTGTATCAACCCCATACCTGTCCTGGACTGATCTTATGCAATTAGAACATAAACTGTTAGGCAGTGTTTTTGTCAGTGGTTATGTTTTTGGTGCAGGTCCAATGGAAGAATACAACCATGTTCTTGTGCTTTATACAGAGGAGGCTGGTGGGATGAGCTATAGGAGGACAGGCTCATTGTATAGGCTGGAATGGAATTAATGGAACGGTATCAAACATATGGAAACCACGTTTAACTCAGTTCCATTTATTCCATTCCAGGCATTACAATGAGCCTAATCCTCCTATAGCTCCACCCACCAGCCTCCTCTGGATTTATGGTAACACTTAACACAGACATTCTCAAGGTCTGAGGGCGACATTTGTGCTTACAATACAGGGCTACCTTTTCACAAGCGTGTGATTCTTAATCAGAATACAGAGATTCTGGACAAGGAGAAGCCATTTTGTCCCAGCCTCAGGAAGCTGAACTCCAGAAAGAGTTGATTATCAGCAAGTGCAGTGTTCTCGTGTTTTTATAATATTTTCATTATTTCACAGGTGGAGGAGATCCGTCCCAAGTACTCCAAATTAAACTATGTGTTTTTAGCCAAGGTAAGACGGACTGCCCATGTTGTAATGTTTGCATCTTGGATTCATCTACAGTATATCCAATAATCAAAGGACTATATATGTGCACCGATGATGATAATGATGAGGACGAATGTGTTTTTGATTGGTCAGTGTTACAGAGACCTGGGGCAGAAAGGTCAGGCCAGGAAGATGGGGGATGCTGCTGCCTCAATGGAAACCGTTTCCAAAGAGGTGGGTCCTGACTGTATTGTCACTGACTTATTCTTGTGCTCTAAACTCTTAGTTTTCTCCCATTTGTCATTGTTGTGGTTTAAAAAAAGAGTATCTTTCTTTCTCTCTCTCCAAGGATGAGGAGGCACAGAAGGAGCTTGACTACCTTCTCCCTGCGCTAGGTGTTTATTGAGGACGTTTTGAAATGGCTACGTCCTCTTGCTAGGGAGAAACCCAGGATCCTCCTCACTGGAAGCCACACTATGAAGGGAATCCAAATCCATGTCTTCCTTGATTACTGTTGGGACAGTACCTTCAATGGGGGCATCGACATTCTGAAATACCTGACTCTTGCTAATACTCTCTGGGATTGGAGATGACTGGATCAGCTGTGCATACTAGGGAACAGTGTTCTGGAGAACATACTTATCACAGACACATCTTGATGTCTTATGAAAGCAGATATCAAAATGCTTTGATATCTGTTTGCTAAAGAGAGTGTGGTAAAAGGGACAGTTTGACCTATCAGCAAGCAGTTACACACCCAGAATCCAATTTCATTGGTTGTTCCTATCTTTGATGCAAGTGAATCAATGGTGTTGGTCCCAATGGGATATATATTATCTACCACCTCACCTTGAAGCAATCTGCAGTCAAGTGTGGAGGACCAGGCAATACTGTAGCGAGAAAATACAGTCTATGAAGATTTGAATAATTATACCAACCCTGATGTTGGTTTCAAAAATGAGAATGATCCCCTGTAAACTGCATACATATCAATAATTATTCTTGATTTATTTCTTTTTGCACTGAAATAGCCTAGCCTAAGAACTGCTTTTATTTTTTACTTTTTTTTATTCGATGCCTGTTTTTTAGTTTTTACCCATCTACCAATAGGTGCATTGGAAAACCTCACTGGTCTTTGTGGTTGAATCTGTGTTTGGAATTCACTGTACGACTGAGGGACCTTACAGATAATTGTATGTGTGGGGTACAGAGATGAGGTAGGTATTCAAAAATCATGTTAAACACTATTATTGCACACAGAGTGAGTCTTATGTGACTTGTTAAGCAAATTTTTACTCCTGAACTTATTTATTAGCCTTGCCATAACAAAAGGGTTGAATAGTTATTGATTCAAGACATTTCAGCTTTTCATTTTTTATTAATTTGTAAAAGAAAAACAACAAAAACAACATAATTCCCACTTTGACATTAGGGAGTATTGTGTGTAGACCAGTGACACAAAATATCAAAATAATAACTTTTAAATTCAGGCTATAACATGACAAAATTTTGAAAAGTCAAGGGGTTTAAATACTTTCTGAAGGCACTGTAACTATATGGCACCCTATTTCCTATAAAGTACACTACATTTTGACCAGGGCTATAGTACACTAAATATGGAACAGGGGCTCTGGTCAGATGTAGTGCACTAAATAGGGAATATGGTGCCATTTCAGACGCAGACTTGACAGGGAAGGAAACGTGACTCCTAGGGAGAATCTCAATTTCATACTCCTCGCGTCCTCTTTCCTCGCCTCCTTCTCAAAACCCATTGGAGGAGGTCAGAGGGACGGGACCTCTGAGAGGACGCGAGGAGTATGAAATTGAGATTCTCCCTAGGAGTCACGGTTCCTTCCCTATCAAGTCTTCAAGAGACCTTTAACTGGTGCATACTTTATCCGAGAGGTGAAATACAAGAATGGTATAAAAATGTTTTGTATGCTTTCGTTTTATCTAGGGTTGAACACATTGCATCCACTGGGCACACACTGGTTGAATCAACGTTGTTTCCACGTCATTTCAATGAAATTACATTGAACCAACTTGAAATAGACGTTGAATTGATGTCTGTGCCCAGTGGGCAGTGAAGTAAATTATCTTGTAAATGAAATACAGTACAAAAAATATTATATAGACACTATGTGATGTATTTAGAAATGAAAATGCATACCTCTGGACACTACTATTCTATAGACACTACTGATCAATGGTATTTGAATCTGCCATTTTTCAATAAATATGTGGAATTGTGTGTGTGAGAGAGAGATGTTGCTGCAGTACATGCACACACAGCTATTTTTGTACGCAACACATTATTAAAATCTAATAGGGACATATTCATTCTATTATCAACCAAATATTTACCCTGGTCTCGGTCCAAATGTAATGAAATAGCAAGGTATGAAAGCAAGTTCTTGCTTGACTATCAAAGGTCTAGTGTGGCGTTTTATTTGTAAGCCCCACTACCGTTCCCCTTTTTGTGCAGACTTTATAGTTTGTTCCAGAGCCAATTGAAATTTGTCACTGGATCAAATTCAGTCCAACTTCCCTCCAGTCTGGTCATGTTTCAGGTTATTGTCATGGCATAGACTCATTCGGTTACCTCCTAAAGGAGCACAGGTGTTTGTTCAGTATTAAAATAACTCAGAATAAATCCTGGGAAAGTTGGTTTAGCCTTATCATTTGTACCAAATTAATGGAACTTGCCTCAACACAGCAATGATCTACTACAGTATTCCATGTCAGTGGAATTAATCCTGTTGCAATTTCTTACCAAATGCCTCTTAATTTTCCAAAGCAGACTGAATAGTTAATGTTAATGTCTTAATCACAGTGTTGCATTCTGTGGCCATAAGAAGATGTGGGTTAGAGAAGTTGCTATGATGCGATCTTTGACCCTGATGCCTTTGCATTATTGTCTTGAAGAAAAGACTGCAGATAGAATAACAGACTGGGGAATTTACAAGAGTTCTCCAAATCTCTGCTTGTCTCTTCCTGAAGCCACTGACATCTGGAACACTGAGAAATTGCAGAGCTCACTGCCCTGACAAGGAGGTGCCGTTGGCATGGAACCTGACTGGTTTGTTGGGAAAGTGACTGACCTTCCTTTGGTGCACCCACCCTTTCCCTAAGAGCCTTGGGGACAAAGGTCACTAACAACATCAGTGGCTGCATACCACATTGGGGTGAATTCCATTTAAATTCTGGAAGTTTACAGAACCTCAAATAGTCATCAATGATTTTCTAAGAGGGAAATATGGAATTGTAATTTCTGTTTACTTTCTGAATTGACAGAATTTAAATGAATTTGACCCCAACCCTGCTGCGTACCACAATCACTAACTCCCTAATGTACTGTACTTGTCTCATGATCCTCAAAGGCCAAACGGATATACCAGTCACTCCAGTGGCTCAGGGACATCATTAAGGGGGACATTAATGATTTAACATCTGATCTGAACAACATAGGGTAGCTACAAGTAACATAATTGGGAAATGATCTAATTTCCCTTCTCATAATGTCCTAACTGGAAATGTTGTTTACGGTAGTTAATCATCTTGAAAGTAAGGTTTCCTGGAAGAATTCTGCTAATGTGCACATTGCTTGTCTGTGGGAGGTTAGTCAACTGTATCCTACTTTTGAGGAACTGTCATGGATTTATGATTGGCCATCACAGACATGACTGGGAAATTGTGATGTAATGAGTCACAAAACCAAACTGTCATCAGTCATGCTATCAAGGATTAGGTCATCTTCCTCACCATATACACTCAAAAGAATGCTGAGTTAAAATCAACCCAATTTGGGATATTTGGTAACCCAGCGCTGGATAAATATTGGACAGAACACGTTTGGTTATTTTGATCCAGCCAATGTTGCGTGAATAAACCAACGTATTGTGTTGGGATAACCCAAACATGGGTTAATTTAACCGTCAATTGGTTTAAATTCACTTTCATGCTGAGTTGACCCAGCAGCTATGTCTTTTTTCATGGAATCCATAGGTTATGTTCAGGAGGTGTGGCTTTCAGATAGTACATTTTTGCCACCCGACAGTAAATGTAATTCTTGTTCATCATATTAAGTTGGTACCCTGAAAATTAACATTTTCATGAAAACATTTTTCCACATTACATATTCTAATGTATTATTAATAACATAATTGTTTACATATTGTTACAAAGTGGTAACTCTCCCAACATTGGGATTTGCATGAGCTTTCAAGGAACTCTTACATTTTTGTAAGCTTCGTTAAAGCTACAAAACTGTCTGTCCAACCTTAACCTATGTTAACAATATAATAGAACAGATGAACCGGAATTACATTTACTCTCACGGATGGCCAAAAATAACTATCTGAATGTAAGCCATGATTCCAGTTTTCTTTTTCTTTTTTTGTGACCAACTTTCTATTATTATTATTTTTTGGGTGACGGTGTTCAGGACACAAACAGTGAATGATTTTCAAAAAGTACATAAATCCACCCTCCCGCCGACCAGAGAAAACCCTTCCCATACCACCCCTTCCCTGTGGGCCTGAAAGTAAAAAATATGAAAATAGTTCCTTCAGAAAGTATTCACACCCCTTGACTTGTTACAGCCTGAATTTAAAATGGATTCAATTGAGATTTTATTTCACTGGCCTACACACAATACCCCATAATGTCAAAGTGGGAATTATGTTTTTAGATTTATTTTAACTTCTTTTTTTTTCTTCTTTTTTTATGCTGAAATGTCTTGAGTCAATAAGTGTTCAGCCCCTTTGTTATGGCAAGGCTAAATAAGTTCAGGAGTAAACATTTGCTTAACAAGTCACATAAGACTCTAATAGTGTTTAACATGATTTTTGAATGACTACCTCATCTCTGTACCCCACACATACAATTATCTGTAAGGTCCCTCAGTCGAACAGTGAATTTCAAACACAGATTCAACCACAAAGAACAGGGAGGTTTTCCAATGCCTCGCAAGGAAGGGCACCTATTGGTATATGGTTATAAATAAGCAGATATTGAATATCCCTATGAGCATGGTGAAGTTACGAATTACACTTTGGATGGTGTATCAATACACCCAGTCACTACAAAGAAACAGGCGGAGAGGAAGGAAACCGCACAGGGATTTCACCATGAGGCCAATGGGGACTTTAAAACAGTTACAGAGTTGAATGGTTGTGATAGGAGAAAACTGAGGATGGATCAACAACATTGTAGTTACTCCACAATACTAACCTAAATGGCAGAGTGAAAAGAAGGAAGCCTGTACAGAATAAAAATATTACAAAACATGCATCCTGTATGCAACAAGGCACTAAAGTCATACTGCAAAAAATGTGGCAAAGTAATTAACTTTCTGTCCTGAATACAACATGTTATGTTTGGGGCAAATCCAATACAACACATTAC